CTGGTTTTGAATATAAAATGTTTACTAGCTGAAAACCAGACTTTACTTGGGAGTGATGAGTTAGAAATGATAAAAGCTTTCCTCTTCTTGCTGACAAAGTAATCCATCTAGAGTTGTGTGCCGTTTTCAGTGCGTGTGTATTTTAGTAATGCACTGCCTTTTGACAATTCAGATTTTTCCTACAAATACTTTGCACTGATGTATTTGGGCTTGTTTGTGTCCATCTTGGGGAATTATATGTGAAATGTAACCCTCAGTTGGGAGAACTGAATAAAAATAGTTTCACTTAGTTAAGCTTAGCAACCAATGGAGAAATATGTATAGTGTTTGTATCACTATTTTTGACGCCATAATTATGCATGTGATGAAATAGGTCCCAAAGAACGATATTAGGAGTGCTTTTTGAGCAATGATGCAAGTATTGCATTCAGCAGTGACATGTAGCAAAATGTGGCAGGGCATTTGAGTGTGATGAAGTCACCATGTACTGTGATTGTGCTATGTACTGTGTACCCTGTGGAATGAGCTGGAGGGGTAGAAAAATAAAATACTGAACACTATGAGTATTGCAGCCATCAGCAGTGGAATGGTTCAGAATAATTAATGTCTGTGGTGCCAGTCAAGCCTTAGATAAGAGAGATGGAGACCACAGACCATCTTCCTGGAATATACAAAATGAATAAAGAAGGTGTGCTATTGCATGAGCAACCTGTCATCATTATCAAGTTACGAATTTCTTTGTTTTCCAAGAATTATGGACTAAATGGAGAAGTGGGGGAACCAGTCTTGCAGCTTGTTATAACTAACAGGACTAATCTCAAGAGGGATACGATTTATTTCAGCCAATTAGTCACATTTTTAATTAATTGCATCTTAATCTGGACATATAATACAGGTCAGATGAATTACTTCATAAATGTGCCAGTTTCTCTCCTTTAACTAATTGGAATCCAGATAACTTCTGCAGATGTGGATGTCTACATAAGAGGCATCTCATATAGTTTTAGATGGTTTATGTCATTGGGATTCTTATGTGCCAAACTCCAGTTTCATGTCATGAAATTCAGTGGACCAGAGCAATGTCAGAGACTATATTTCAAGAAAAGGTAAAATGTATCAAGTTTTTCCATGAGACGTCTATTGGTATGTACTTAGAAATAAATATGTTACTAGACTAGTCTGTAAAACAGGCTACTGCAGTAATCAATAATGGAAAGGAAATTCCATAATTAAAACCACAGAGCCATAGCATTGGTATAATCTTTAAACTGTGACCCAGATGAAAGATGCATCCTTGATTATGGCAAAAAGATAAGCCAAAGCAAAGTACAGAATTGTAACCAGAAGAGTAAGTTTCTCATCACAGATGATAAGAATAAATAATTTTAAAATTTGGGTAGATGGGCACTAGCCAGGATAAAGTGCAGTTCTTAAATATATTGTCTATAATCAGTGATAAAGAAGAAGTATTTAATCAAGGCACCTACTGATAATAGTTAGTGAGACTGACTGAAATGAGCTAGCAGAGAAGAGTAAAGTTAGAGCAGAGACACTAGATGACACAGACATCAGGAACATTCTTTCTGGACAGATCCTACTTCAGGCTATGTGAAAGATGATACAGGATGGGCACAGAGGAGGCTAAATTCAGTTTCTGTTGAGTGATCTGGAAGACTGTTAAATATTCAGCCAGGCTCTTTAGGACCTGTCAATTCTGGGATAAACAACATCAGCTATTGAATTAAATTCCTGCTTTGTATAATTTTTTTTCATGTAGAGGTTATAGCAAAGGTAAGGACAGGATGTAACTGTACTCAGGTTGAGACAGACTGTTCCTACACCCAGCAAGCAGCACACTGTACTGTAGCACGGATTTGTCGACTCTCCTGTACACATGCACACACTAGGGCACAGAGGCTGATACCAGCTGAAACAAAGTAGCAGTTTACATCATCATGAGTTATGGTGCTCACTTGGCGTGTTATTATTGCTTCTATTTAAATAAAATCCCCTAAAGTTTATTTCAGACGGGATTGAATTAACTGTAGGTACCATAAAGCAGTTGGTAGGAACATTTTGTTTATATAGAGGTAAAATATTATAGTTGTTCATCAGATTGCAGACTTCCTTTTGTGGGCATTTGTAATTATTTTGGGACATAATCCAGTTCCTAGTAAATTTGGTAGGAATCTTTCAGTCAGTTCCAGAGGGACTTGTATCAAATTTCTCTAAGTTTTTGAAGATACTAAATTTTATGAAGTTGACATTTTAGTGCTTAGTGTTTGCCAGGTGCCTGATGTGGTGAGGACCAAGACTTCCTTTGAGACCTAATATGTGCAGTGATGCACTTTGCCATGAAATCATCTTAATTGGGTGGGGTAATGGGGATCTTAATGGGTCTACCTGGTCACTGCTTTAGAAGTTGTTTGTATAATAATATAGGAAATATAGGAAATAAACAAGAGGACCTGAAATCTTAATCCATGAGCAACAGCGTGACTGAACTAGCGTAGCAAAGATGCAACGGGAGCACAGGGAGGAGGAAGAGGCAGTTGCTGTTGTATATTGGGTTCAGACACTTGTGCTGTGACCCAGCTGTAGAGGGAGTTGGACATACTGATGCTCTGTGAAAGGGGAAAAGCTCGTGGCCTCCATCACTATGCAGGCATTGCACCGGCCACCAAACAGATCAGGTAGGTGAGGATTTTTACTGGCAGATTATAGGGGATAGTGATGATGGGAGATTTTAATTAATCAGTCATCTGTTGGAAACCAACAAAAGAAGCAATTGAAGGGGAAGCTATTCTGTTTGATACCAACTCCAAGAGAGAAACTGTTCAAGAACAGGGAGAGAAAAGGCGAGAATTACCCTGGGATGACAGAGCACACAGATTTCAGGAAGGGAAAGAAGCTGAATAAAAGAATCAGAACAACAGGTTTCAAGGGGTTATGAGAGGATTGTGGGCATAATCTCTCTGGAAGGGAGTCTGAAGAAAAGAATTTAAAGGAATTGGTTATTCCTTAAATTTAAAATACAAAGACAAAAAAATGCAAATTGAGACAGCACAGGAGAAAGACAAAAAGCATAGTAAAATAAATCTGTCTAAAATAAAATCACCTTATTTATATCAAGCACAAGAATGAACCATGTAGAAAATTAAAACTAGTTTGGATTATTCAGAACAAGTGCAAAAGAGTAGCAAAAGATGTAGAAAAGAAAATCAAAGAAGCCAAGGCCAAAAAATGTGAACAAGAAAAGACTGTGTATGAGAAAGATCATGAGGAATAACAGAAATTGTTCTGGAAGTATATTTCTGCTAAGAGAAAGTTTCAGGAAAGTGTTGCTCTACTGCTTAACGGAAACACCAGTCTTCACTAGTGGTATTAAGAGCATATGGTAATCTCAGCCTAGAATAGGGAAAGGATGAATTGGAGAGTACTCAATGTGTTAGGTGTCCCCACGTTAGCTGTGCCTGAGACATGCTGTATGTGGAAACTGGAAGAACTGGGTAAATCAGTCTCAGCCCTGTTAGCAATTACCATTGAGAAGCTGCAGAAGAGAAATGAGAGAGTGTGAAAAAACAGAAAAACTGATCCTTAGAAGCATGAGGGAGCTATGGAGGGAAGAGACCTATCACAGGTTTACAGATCATTTTTATTCCTAGAGAAATTACAGAAAAATATTCAAATAATTTGTAAGTAGCTGGAGGAAGGCAACAAACAGCAATCAGCATGGGTTTGCTGGAACTATCTAAGACCCTATAATGAGAGATTAAAACTTGTGGAAAGGAGCACATGTCCTACATTTTCACTTTAAGAAACTTCTGAATGCTGCCTCAGACAACTCCCCTGTAAACAAGCTAGGGAACATCAAGCAGTGGCTTAATGCAAGTGCATGGGGATATAGCTGCAAAATTGGTTGGATAAGCTAACCTCTAAGCACCTGCTGCTGTTGTTTTACCACTATGTGTGTATTCCACAAGAATTTATTTTAGACACTATTTTGTTTTTTCAGTAATAATTTGGATTATTAGAAGGTACACTTATTAAATTTGAAGTTGTCACAAAATTGGAATGGATTGGAAGGATGCTAGAGAACAGGATGAGAATTGAAAATTATCTTGACACGCTGGAGAAATGGCTTGGGGAATAAGGTAATATTTAATAGGTGTAAGTGCATGGTGCTACACTTGGGCAGAGTAGCCATGTACAGGACACAGGACAGCTGGTTAAGCAGTCGGCTTTCAAAACAATATGTCCATCATTACCAGTACATGAGTAAACATAATCAAGCTGTTGTGAAAAGGTATGGATGGATGAAAAAGACATAGCCTGCAAAATGTATGGAGTAATTCATCTGTTGTACTCAGTACTCTGCTCAGCTCAAAGTACTGGGTCCAATTTTGAGCATCACACTTCAATAAAGATAGGGCTAATTGGAGGGAGTGTGGAGAATAGTAGTGAGGATAGTTAGCTGAAAAACATGACTTGTAAGGAAAGAATTCAAGAAGCAGAATTATTTACCCTAAAAAGTAAAAGACGGATAGGAGAGAAAAATTTTCAAGTATGTAAATAAAAAAACAAAACACAAACAAAAAACCAGCCAACCAACCAACCAACAAACCCCAAACCACTTTGAAGTTACACAGATGCATCCAATACGGATAGCTTAAATTCTATCAAAGTACTAATTTACACAGCAGAAAAAAAAAATCTGATAGTAAGGTAAGACCACTTAGAACAGGCTGGATGAGAAATTTGTAAGTATATTTATTAGAGGTCTTTTAAAATACAGAAAACATGTCCAAAAATGATACAAGTGCAGCTTTGTTTCAGTGGCAGTTTGGAGATGACCTGCTATGGATCCTGTCAGCAGTACATTCTCTGATTCCCTACTGAGTGTGTTACATTACTGTGCCACACAATGCATTTTCTGTTTTGTGAATGTTGTGAAACATTATTGTACTTTGAATTAAGATGATACCTTTTTTTTATTTCAGTATGTGCAGAAGCTTACAATCCTGATGAGGAAGAGGACGACACAGAATCTAGGGTATTTAATGCTTTGAGTCAAATACTTACTTTTTTGGTTCTTGGGCATTAAATTTAGGAAGAAAATAGGGCTGATTATGTAAATTATGTAACCAGTATTACCATTGCTTTCCAAAAGGATTCTTATTGTAATGTACTTTAATAATCTATGGGTTTTCATGTTAAAAGAACATGTTAAAATTCTCTGTAATAGTCATCCATGTATGATCTGATGTGAGTGTTATTCTATACCACACCTTTGATACATGCTCTGTTAAGGAAAAATTTTGTGCAATTATATTTTCCCAGAGAGTGCCTGCTCCTGAAAGTATTTATTCGGTATCCTCGTAATCTTGCAGGAATTTCCTCAATATTCTAGTATTTTTCATAAAGCAGAAAAAGATAAATTGTAAAATTGTTAAGATTTTGAAATGTACAATGCAATACCTAATGAACTGTATTTATTTCTTATGTCACCCTTTAAAGGCATTTGCTTAAGTTTTAATATAAAAGAATAAGAATAATAAGCATAAGAATGACTTTTAAGACAAGTTTAAATGTTTGTATTCTACCTAATTTCTAGTTTGTAAAACTGTCAAAAAGGTTATGCTATAGTATCACAGCTTTGAAACCTAGCATGCCTTTTTAAGCATATGCGTTGAATGAACAGCTTAACTTGATTGATACTCACATTAACCAGGCATCGGTAATTTAGTAAATCTCTGGCTCACACAGATAGTGTCAAGTCTGTTGTTTACTCTGTGAAACTTCTGATATAAATTTAACACAGATACTATTTCACAAAATATTCTTTAGGAAGTTGTCATGGCAAATGGCTAAATGTAACAGTGGTGCTTTTTATAAAACATGCATGCTTAGAGAGTAGTAATGTTTATGCAGCAATATTTGAGATAAAGGTATCCAGAATGGCTTGCAGAAATGAACTGGATTCTACAAATGTGAAGATCTTGTTAGCTTAAATACAGCAGTGCTAATGCTAGGGTGATACATTATTGAGTGTTTGTTCAAATCCTTAAGGTTTTGAAATGGAAGTGTTTGGAATGAAACATGGCCAAAATATTGGATAAAATGCTTAACTTAATTAGCCCAGTCCTTCAGCTAGTGCTGCTATATGATATAACCACTTTAAAGGTTTTTCCATTATATCCCCCAGATTATTCACCCTAAAACAGATGATCAAAGAAACAGACTGCAGGAGGCATGCAAGGACATTCTTCTTTTTAAGAACCTAGATCCGGTAAGAGACTCTTTGTAACGAACAACACTTAGCAGTTCGGCTAAGAATTAATTCTTTTGAACTTTTGAACAGAAGTTTACAGATTTGACTTCTGTAAGCTCTTATGTATGCTTTCTTGACCATTTCATAAACTCCAGAAGTGTCATTTTTATAACTGATACATCCTATATAAAGAGCCTTTTGTTCACCACCATGAATGATAGTCTTGAAGTACATTAATATGAATGTAGATATTAATATGATTGTAAAGTATTATATTTTATTTTAAATCTTCTTGCTGTGCACTGATATATATATACATATATTTATATATATATATATGTATAAACTCATCAGTTAATTCGTACGTTTGTTCCTACTAGTTACTTTTTATCATCCAGAAGTGTGCTGAGTGCTCCATCAAAATCTAAAATTACCCCCAAAGCCTACATTTTATCTATAGATGTAATTGAACAAGCAAGTTACGAAATAAAGGGAAAGAGAAAGGCAATAGCAGGGTGTTTACATTATTATTTCACTTAATAAAGATACTGTAAAAATGCCACAGATCGTTTTCTATGCAGATAATTTCCTTCGTTTGCCCATAAAACAATTATGGGCTTTTAAGTAAGCTTAAATTCAGTGAATGAGGGATCTGGATCAGACAAAGGTGATAATGCTACAAAAAAGCACAGGGTTGTTTAAGGGAAAAGGTGAATGTATCAATCAAAACATGCATACTGAGGTTGGGATGACTCACAGCACACCAAATGGTTTCCCAAGAGAATTGATTCAGTGCTGTCAAGGGGAGGGAGTGTGGGGGAAAGGGAAATAATTATGTAGAGTTTTAAGCATGAGAACAAAAAGTTTTAAATTTGATTCAAGAAGGAGCTGATGAAAAGACTAGCCTGCAGCTCTGTTTGGAAGACAGATGCTGTTACAGTGAATGCAGGTTAATTCGTGCTGTGGGTTTCCAGCTCATGCTTTTGCTTGCACAAAGGCTGAGCTCTGACCCTGGATGCCTGTTCCCAGAGAGGCTCTGAGAAGCAGTGAGACACAGATCCCCAGTTTTGCAGAACCCTGGAGTTGGAACTATAGGAGGGCATCAAATGTCTCGAGGTAGGCGCTAATATGTGTGCATTCGTGGGACAGTAGGGATCCTGACACAGAAAATTTCCTAATGCTGTCTGTTTAATGGGTAATTAGCTGTTCTACTGTGCTGGTTCAAGCTAAAGTCACCCAAACATTTGCCCCTTCCACTGCTGAGTTACTTTTCTGTATATCTTCAGGGATACAGAGTGATTTGTGGGCATCTGCTATGGATGTGAAATTGCATTGTTATATGTTTTCCTTACTGTTGCTGTGTCCTGGCTTCCACTTGGCTGGACCATCGTTAGATTAGCCTGCCAATGGCCTTTTGGCAGACCCCTCTTGCTTAGCCTCTGAGCATTTCTCTCTTAGGAACCCTGTGACCCACCAGATTATCGTGTGACCTAGAATCTGCTTGTGATGTTCATTTTGAGCTGCTGCTTTCCTGATTCTGGCTTTACAGAGTTTCTTGGTAGTATCTGCTTATAGTATCAATCCTCTGGATGAGATCTGCTTTCCATTCCAGTGAGAACTAGATCTTCTGTCTAAATAGTCATCAGCCACTTGGTCTGCAGGACAGGCTTTGCATCAGCTATATTGTAATGTTGTGAGGACGTAGAGCATTAAACTGTTCCAGGGTGGGCATTTGATATAACTCTTCAAAGAAATACTGAGGGAATGCTTCCCCTGTTTGTGGAGGTCTTCTCAGGACTGTGCTGCTGTCTGGATACCACAACTCCTTGATATTTTGAACTCCTTTTTTACTTTCTGCTTCTGAATCAGTCACTTGTAATCGCTAATAGTTCCCACAGTCTATTCCAGGTGTTTAGTAGAAGACTTCTTAGCTGGTCCCCCCTTTGTGGTGCTGTGCAATCCAAAGCCTTGAAATCCAATCCTGGGATCTCCCAAGTCTTATTTACCCCCCTTTGCTCAGATTGTCTGGCAGATTAAGAACAATTCCTTCTGCTTTAAATCCTTCACAGAGAGCATTCTGGAAAGTTGAGTAAGATGATTTTTGTAAAGGAATTTTTCATTATAATAACTTCATTCATAAGATGCATTACAAAGCTACTGAGCTCTGAAGATAGCAAGGGTATTAAAATGTAGCCTTCTCCTGACTGTCTTGCTCCTTCTGTGGAGCCACAACCTGTAGTCTCTGAGGGCCCTCTCCCACTCCTCTTGTTCTTCTGTTAGGCAGTGACTCGAGTTCTGCCACTGTAGTTGCAGTAATATAAATGCTTCTATCCCACTTTCTTCTTTACCTCTGTTTCTCCACCCTGAGTACAAACGCACGTGGTGCCAGCTGCTGCAGTTCGCTCTCTGGTGTATTAGCAAAAACTCCATCTTGGAGAGACATAATATCTTCAGCTGCTAAACCTAAAGTTTCTGGAACAGAAGTTAAGCTGTGTATTGACAGCGTCTCCTACTCCCACTGCTTTTTTTTTCTTGCATTGAACTTCAGCCTCTTCCTGCTATAGTCTGCATATGAAAAACATGCTTTCAGAGGTCAGTGAGTTAGAGGGGAATAGACAATGTAAAGTGCTTAATGGCTTTTCCCTGATGGCCTTTTAGTAAGGTGTCAAACACCATTCCTAAATAGGCCACCAGTCTGAAATACAGTATAACTACATGTCTTACAGCATGATCAGAATTGCGTTCAGTACATAATGCTAAATGTAGTTCACATTTTCTTAAATCCTGCCCTATCACTGTGTTTTAATTTAAGTGGAATGGTAAGATAAGGGTCTCATTAAAGCAGAAGTTGCAGTAGTTAGGAGGTGACTTATGGTGCTGCTCAGCATTTTAATTAAAGAGTCCGTCTGAACAGACAAGAGCCTTCACATAAAAGTGAAAAACAGTAGAACCATTTGGATATGAGAATAAATGAGAGAGAGGAGAAAAAGATAACCTTCAGACTTTGAGACAATTTAAGACTTTCTAAACACACACAACTCTTTCTTGAGCCTGCACTTACCTGATAGCAGTTTTTGAATATCAGAAAGTTAAACTTACGGAGAAGTATTTTTAAATATCAATATTTCACATACTGCCTCTGATTGAAAATATATCATAGTATAAAGGAACACCAGTTCTGGTGCAGTTCCTTGAGCAGTACTCTACGTTTTAAAGGCCAACTCTTATAAATTCCTTAAAATCTGTGAAGTTACCTAAATTTTCTTGAAATGTTCTTTAACTTTGTGGATTGATGAGGATGTGACCAGTCAACTAATGTCAGTTCAGCAAGGTACTCCTGAGTTAACGCCATTAAATAAAAAGTACTTTTAAAGAATTGACATGTTAGCATTCTTGCCACCTTTCTGGGGTCTTAATCACTTCCCCTCTGAATGCTGTAACTCAGTTTTAGCTAGTGTATAACAGTATTGAAAAAAATATTGGAACAGAGGAGTATAGATTGAAACATGCATGTGCAACAAGATGAGGGAAAAAGGTTTCTGCAGAGCTCTTTGGCTACTCTTTAGATTACCAGATCAGGAAAGAATCAAGAGAAATTTCAGGAGCAGAACGGTGTGGATGAGTGAATTAGAAGAGAGAAAGGTGCATTGAGATTTTTGTTTTCCTCTCCATATGCTGTTAATCTAACCTATGTTATATTAACTCATTCCTCTTCTAAAGCTCCTCTTCCTATTCTTCTTCCCAGAAAAACCTCTTCCTATTAAACCACAGTATTTATTGTTCCTCTCAATTGCCTGCCACACCATTGCCAGAAATCCTCATATGACTTTATTCTCCCAGTATTCCATGGTGTACCTGGATGCTTGCTCTACATGCATGCACAAAGCATGTCACCACACGTCCTTCATGCTCCAGATGCTGGAGGTTACTGGAAGTGGAATCAGAAGCTGCATGTCCTCTTTCCTTTCCACTTTCACTGTCTGTAAGCAGGCAAGGAGAAAACAAGATGATGATCAGATGCCTTGGGCCATTACTGAGGATAAGGCCCAAGTCGCTGTTACTGGAATTTGTCTCTGTTCAGACTAATAGCTTTTTTATCATTGGAAGGAATAGCAGCAGCAACAGCTCATCTAGTGTCCAGGGCAGCCTTCTATACTTCATTTTTACAATGCAACTCAGGGAAGTATTCATTTGGTTTTGTCTTTTAAGAGGAAATTTTGCTGGGGCTGATTAACAACAGGCTATTTGGTTTGGCTGTTATGGCCCATAGGCCAGCAGTTAAAAAAACCCATGAGCCTATTAGAATAACAGGGTGGCTCAAGTGACTGGTACCATCAAAGCTGTGCTGCACCTTGCACTTAAAGTTTGAATCCTTTCTTTTGCAGAAATTCACAGGCAGTGTTAGATCATCTGTTCTGTTTTAGGGAAATTTTATTTTGGGGAGCTTTGTCCTGCTAATGTTTGTAGAACATATTTCAAATAGGTCTTGACCCTTTTCTATAAGGTAATATATATTATACGTATTCTTCACAGAATCCTCTAGGTTGGAAAAGACCTTGAAGATCATCCAGTCCAACTATTAACCTAACACTGACAGTTCCCAACTTCACCAGATCCCTCAGCGCTATGTCAGTCCAACTCTTAAACCCCTCCAGGGATGGGGACTCCACCACCTCCCTGGGCAGCCCATTCCAACACCTAACAACCCCTTCTGGAAAGAAATGCTTCCTAATATCTAGTCTAAACCTTCCCTGGTGCAACTTGAGGCCATTCCCTCTTGTCCTATCACTTGTTACTTGGTTAAAGAGACTCAACCCCAGCTCTCTGCACCCTCCTTTCAGGGAGCTGTAGAGGGCGATGAGGTCTCCCCTCAGCCTCCTCTTCTCCAGACTAAACTCCCCCAGTTCCCTCAGCCGCTCCCCGTATGATCTGTGCTCCAGACCCTGCACCAGCTCCGTTGCCCTTCTCTGGACACGCTCGAGTCATTCAATGTCCTTTTTGTAGTGAGGGGCCCAAAT